ATGGATTCAGCCCTATCTTATTTACCCTCTCCATATATATTTGATGATCATAACTTCGGAGGCCATACATATCATGCTGGGTTAGTCTCTTGTTTCTAAGACATTCTAGGAACTTATCATGTCGAAGTTCCCTCTTAACTACGTATTTCTTAACACTCTTTGCCTTCTGAATGCTATGCTTCTTTTTAGAGTCTTCTGAATCAGAATCATCGGGAGTCTTTGGATCATGCCCAACTGGTAGGATGGAGTACATCTTTGGTTTTAAACATACTGCTTCATCTATAGATGAGCCCTTAGTTTCGTCCTTCATCAGGAATAAAGCTCCTGAGTTGTTGAGATCGAAAATGTCTGGTCTCTCTGCACGATCCTTATAAATATTCTCAGTTTATATAATCATGATAAGTGAGTCTGTATCTGTGTAAAGTAGGCGGGCTTTTCGCTATTTTTACTGTCTGTGTCAGTCAATGAATATATGTCTTATTTTTGGATATAAGTTTTGGAAATCAGCTATTATATCTTTTTTTAATCCGCAAACAATTACTAATTTCTATTGTTTCCAGGTTAGGAGCCAGTTTGGGAATTTTTGTAATTGTTTTTGGGCTTAAGCATCTGGAACCTCTTATTGCAAGTGATTTTAAATTGGAACACTCGACTAAAAGTGCTTCTAAATTTTTATTGTTAATTATACGCGACCCACAATTTTCAAAACTTAGCTGTTGTAAATTTGCGCATGCCTTACACACTTCAGAAATGTATACATCCAGTCCTATATTTATTGTTCCAATAAATTTCAGAGATAATACTTGTTCACATGATTTTGGCTTCGTATTTTTACTCAATGCATTAGTAAACTTGACTCCGGAGATACCTGTTAGAGTTATTTTATGCCATATTAGTCTACTAGCATTGTAATACCATTGCTTATTAACCAATAAAAGTTTACTTATTTTTCCCCATTCATGCTGTGGTATTGGAAAATTCTTTCAAATATTTTATTTGGCATTGCAGTTACATAACGGATGGTTGATTCTTTCAACTTCGTGGATGTAGTTGGGATTATTTCTTCAAAATTAGTCCACTCTAGTCGCATTGTATTCTACATTACCTGTATTAACTATTTTTAACTCTCCTGCTTGTTTTCCAATCACCTGATCGCTAATTTTACCTAAAAGAATAAACCCATCTGTATGGACGCGCTTTATACGATTACCTAGTGATCTGATTTTTTCTGATACTTTTTTGTGTCCCCTTGCTGAAATAAAAGGTGCTATGCGTCGATGAGGACCTGGTTTTCGTCCATCTGAATATAATTGCCCCCAGAGTGATACTAGCATATGCTTGGCAACTGTACCTGCCTGTCCACCTTCATGCTTGATTTCTGTAAGATAACTTGCCCATTGATAGAAAATTTCATCTCCGCGCATAAGCTGATTTGGCCC